AGTAAAGAACAACATATACACAAGGACTTGAGAGGCGCTATGAGTCCCCAAAAGACCAAAAGAGAGACGTGCATTAGGCACTTCATAATAAACTGCTAAAATTAAAGACAACAGTAAAATCTTATAAGAAGCCAGAGAAAATAAGATATATTCCAAGACACAGTTCCTTCAAAGGAGACAAAATAAAGGTACATCTGACCTCTTGAGGGAAACCATGTGGATCAGAAAACAATGAGAAGTCATCCTTAAAGCCTGCAACAAAATTAACTGCCAATCCAGAGTTCCATAACCATCAAAAATATTTTTCAAAAGTTAAGGCAAAAGAATGACATTTCTGGACAAAGAAAAACTTTAAAAAAACATAGAAGACACTCTAAAAGAAATATAAAACGGAGTTTTTCAGATAGAGAAAAAACAAACCTGTACAGTGATGTATTTTATACTAGCTATAATGTCTACTAAAAGAATATTTAAAATGCATAACCAACAAGATAATATAGGAAAGATAGTATAATAAAATAAGTTCTTGGTTAATAAAAATAAACCAAGAAATAAAAGCAAATACAAAACTGTTGAGAAAAACAGAAAACAATTATTAAAATGATATCTATAACCCCAACTTAACAAAAATAGCATTGCACAGAAATGTACTAAATATTCAAATGAAAAGACTACTATCATCAGATTGTATATAAAACTTAGTATCATATGCCATTACAACAAACACACTGAAATATAAGGACAGTGATGATCAGCTTGATTTATGAGGAACAACTGGGGAAAGGAATGCCTTTTAAATAAATGATGTTGGATCAACTGAATAGTCATATAAAAGTGAATCTTGACCCCTATGTTTTTTACCATGTATAAAAATAATGTCCTGGTGCACTCTGAATCTAAATCTGGAAAAAAACCCCACAATAAAGACTCTAGGATAAAAAACAACAGAGTATCTTCATGAACATGCAACAGGCAAACTTTTTAAAATAGGACACTAAAAGTGCTAACCAAAATATAAATGATTGATGAAATATATTAAAATTTTGGAGTTTTATTCATCACAAGGCACTATCAAGAGAGTGATAAAGAAAATCACAAACTGGAGAAGGCCTGCAATACATCTACCCAAGAATGGACTCACTCACAGATATCAATGAGAAAAAGGTAGCCTAAAAGACAAACGGTAAAGGTGCTTCATAAAAGAGGATATTCACATAGCAATAGCATGAAAGTGTGATCTACCTCATTAGGCTGAGGGAAATGCAAAACTAAAGGCATAAATAAATATTACTGTAAATCCAAAAGAATGGCAAAAATAAAGAGGCTGACAAAAACTAACTGCTGGCAAGGATATAGAGTACCTGCAATTTCCAAACCATGCTGGGACAAATGTACTGTTACAGCCACTTTGTAAAAATATTTTACACCAGATCCTGAAGTTGAACTTACACAAATCTACTTAGACAGAAATTCCACTCTTAGGCATATCCCCTACAGAAATGTATACACATACCCACCAGGTCACATATGGAATGTTCCCAGTGCCACATTACAATGGATAAATAAACTGTGATATCATCATAAAAGTCAATGATATGCAATAGCAAGAACAAGCAAACCATTATTGGGATGGATCTTACAGACATACTGTTAGTAAAAGTAGCCAGACACAAAAGGGTACATACATACTGTGTGGTTTCACTTACAAAATGTTCAGAACAAGGACCACGTAACTGATGGTGACAGAAGCCAGAATGATTATCCTGGCGGGGGGTGGAAATTGCATAGCGTGAGGTGGGATTCCAGTCGGTTTCTATTTCATGACCCCAGTGCTGCTTAAATGAGTATGATCTGTTGTGTACTTGGCTATAATTTTCACTTAAAAGAAAAGAAAATAATCTAGCAGTGTACATGCACTGACTTAGAAAGGTAACCATAATATACTATATCAGCAAGTGAAAAAATAAAGTGAATTCTAATCATCAAACATAATATGATTCTATATTGGTAGAAAAAACAAAAAGGTGAATTATTATATCCAAAATAAATCTATAAATCATTTATTAACAATGTTTATCTCGTTTATCTCTTGCATATTTTGCTTCATAAAATTTTGGGATTTTTAAGGAAGTGCACATTAGTTAAGCATTTGAGTCCAAAAATAACCAATAGTAATAAAGAAATAGTTTTCTAGTTAAACACTCCACACTTTCAAAGTGTTCCCTGGTGTGGCGCAATGTGGTAGCCCTGAGAGCATCATTGTCTGTGGTACCGAGTAGCTGAGTCTTCCCTGCTCTGCTTCCAGAGTTCTCTCAGGGGGCAGAAGGGCAGCTCACTTAGGTGAACAGGTCCTTCATACTTACTGTAAATGCACTTTCATTAGCCTCACTCAACTAATGTTCAAAGGAAAGTGTGTGCTGGTCCCTGTGGAACACTCATTAATCAAAGGTAAAAACCTGAAAGGCCACGGCACGGATGCCCAACTCAGTCCCAGAGAAGGGACGTGTGGTACCTCCAAACAGGTCAACTACACGTTCATGCATTATTTGCTTAACAAAAGGAACAAAGGATAATCACCACTTGCCATGTCTTAGGTGTGACACTTAATAAGCTTGCTTGCAAACCTTTAGAAAGAAAAACTGCAACTTCTGCCAATTTCACTACTAACCAGCCTTCTGGATAATCAGGTTTTTCTCAACCAACTTATATTACTATAAATTAATCAAAACTTTCTTTCATCCAATTTTACTTTTACTCACTGTTATGGGGGGAAATGTTGAATCTCTACAAAGCATACTTTAAAAATACTTAAAAAGGATGGGTAGCCTTTAAAAGACTTATTATATTTGAATAAAATTAGTCAATAAAGAGGTTTCCAAGTAAAAATCAAAACTATACCTAAGATATGAAAAACACAAGCTACCTGTGTTTGTGTACACATGTATACACAATCTCTAAAAGTCAAAGGTATACTCTCTTCTCTCATGGGAAAAATGGAGAACAAATTTAGCCCATTTTCCTTTAAAAAAATACTCCTAATGAATGAAAAAAGTGTTTATACAAATCTATGACCATATCAAAAAACAAACACACACAAAAAACAAAGGTCAGGATTTAAAAATTATGCTCAGATTTATAGACTTACAAAAAATAAAAGGAAAATATTAAATAATCATTTAATATCACAACAGTAACATATTCCTGTTATTTTGTTTCATGCAGGTGAGAACCAGAGAAAATGAGCTTAGTTATAATAATGAATATGAGGAAGAACCAGTTTGGGTGACAAAAGGCTAGAGTAGAAAGCAGATGCTAAATGAATCCAGTGAATTTTCATGGATTAGAACAGCTCCCAGAATGTATTTTTTCAACAAGAGAGGTTGGGGGCCCCAGCAGCCAGCTGTGTCCTCTGCATCAGGCAGGTGCTTCCCCACCCCCCTCATGCCATTACTGCCCCGTATCTGTGAACACAGACCTTCATTGTGAGGAAATAGAAATGTTTAAATTAAAGAGCACAGTGTATACATGAATAAATAAATGCATATGGTTATAACCTTCGATGCAGAATGATGCAGAAAAGAGCAAGTACATACTAAACATCTTTCCCATTATGCAAATACATTCTACTATTGATATTTTCTATTTTTGCAAGGATGATCCTCATTACTACTTTTACTATGTGAACTACGAAACTGTATTATCTGTTTTAACAGGAACATATACATAATCACTCTGTGGAGATATTTTCAAAAGTGCCAAAATATGAATTAACACACTGACACTTTTTTAGGGCTCCATGTACCATTCCAAAACATGTTGTTTATAGAGTGGAGTAAAACATTTGTATGAGGCAGTTTCGGAAGTATCAGTTATTTATTTTATTTCCTATAGAACCAGGTACATCACACAGAAATTCCCCTGGTTCGGGAGAAATGTGCAGATGCACAAGGAAACCAGATTAACTGAACTGCTCCCCATTTTCTAAGGAAAAGATTCCTCCTTCCATTGTGGCTGACTTCTTCCAACCTCAAGCTGAGCTTGGGTCCTCCCAGAAATGAGCAGGTTAGCTTTGCTCATAGAAGTCACATCCCTTTTGTTCAACGCCTGCCAAACACATTCTTTTTCTCTTAAGAAAAGTAGAACAGATACTTGCATTGGAGATGAAGTACAGTGCTATCAAACTCATCTAATTTGTTGCACTTTTGGCCAAGTCAGCAGAAAACTCACTAATTATCTTTTTCTCTACAAGATAAACTGATCTCCTACCACATTTTGGGAGATACAAACCTAAGGAACTGCTATGGCTAACGACATAATGATAGTAATTAAAAATTACCTATGCTTCTATCTGACCAAATAATAATCGTTGCACTAAATTAGCACAACCAAGGGAAAATTTATTCCTTAGTTTGCTACAATATAACCTCAAAATTATAGATGAGATTTTGTCTATATTAAGCCTTAATTGGAAAAAAACATAATTAAATGAAAACACGTAGTTCTTTTTCCTATACTCAGCTTTTAACAATTAAACTTTTTTTCCAATAACCTTTTTGCCTGTCTTACTAATGAGGTACATTTCCCGGTCCCCCAACTTATAAAAGTGTAATGAGATACTTCTGGTTTCCCTCCATGCCCTCTGCAGATGGCAGAAAAAGATTCTACCACTGAGACTTTTACTTCCATAGGCTTAGATTTGTCCTATCATGAGTGAGTGCCATAGAAAACACACAGTCTGGTCCTTTAACTTCAAGACTGAGAAAATTAAGGTTCAGAGCAGTGAAGTGACAGGAATTATTACTGGTACGGTTGGGACTAGACCACAAGTCTCTTGACTTCTAGGCAGGTTCTGCCCACCACTCCCTACTGGAATGTTAAAACCAACCGACCGACCAACCAACCAACCAACCAACCAACCAACCAACCAACCAACCAACCGAACAAGACATCTTCACAACAAAAAGCATAGTCTGTGTTTTTGCTAGTGTTTTTGTTTTTACCTCTGAAGAGATTATCCAAGTCATTATCTTCTTTTTCTTTGATTTTCAAACACTTTGCCTGCTGTACAAGTCTGGACAAAGAACAGAAATAAAACCTAGATTCATTATCCTGTGAGGCAGGAATAAACCACGACAGCAGCACACATCTCACAGAAACCACACGGTCAACGACAGAGAATCGGCAGGCATTTTGCTCCACAGAAACTTTGTCAGAATTTTTCTTCAACTTAATATTTAAAAAATACATTTTTGTTCAGAAATTCTTAACTTTGAAATCAAAACGTAAAAGCCCCTCCTCCTTCTATTATTGCCCGATGTTTTAAACTCTCTGGAGAATAAGCTCTTCAGAGTCTGAGGAGGAGCTGTCAGGGACAGGAGGTGGCCAAATAATAATCGCTACTGATGATCTTAGCTCCCAGCTTCTTTAAATTGGAAGATTACATACATTGTGCACAAACAACTATATAAAGTAATTTGGTTATACTGTTGAATTAATTAACTTTTAAATGTTGCAACAGACAGTAAGGACTAATTTTGTAACTCGCATGGAACATTATAAAAATTTGAGGCTCATAGTTTGTAATGAATGTGGTAGTTTCTAAAATGAAACTTTTCATTATCTAAAAATTGCTAATTACCTAATAATTAATTTTAGGTAGGCAGAACTTGAGATAGTTGGTTAATTTATCTGTGATATTTATGATTTTAATGAAAATTATAATAGCATGCTTTGCAAATATATTTTGTGACTGCACCTGAACAGCACCTCTCTCACTTTATCCTCATGGACAAGCCTCTGGGTTAGGCATGAAGCACTGTTTCATTTCTGATTTAAATGAGGAACCTGACTCAGTTACTAAGACCTTACATAGAAAGATAAGTAACTTGTACAATATTTGAGGTAATTTTATCTCTGTGTTCCATAAACATGTATGTTTTGGTAGAAACGTTCAATTTATCAGTTAGGCTTTTTTCATAACTAAGACTGCTTATTCATAAGAATCCCAAGAAATGGAGAAAAAAATCCTATTGAAATCCCATTTTTGGACCTTAAAAAGAGGCCCTACATAGCTTCTGTGGAGCACACTAACTCCAGGTAGTTAACCACCAGTGGTGCAATGCAGAGACTAGTCAGCTTCGTGCAGGAAAACCTGGTTCCATGGTTTAGCACCTGCGTCTTAAGTTTGTGACCCAAGGTGCATATTTAAACTCTAGAGGATTCAGCATCCCAATCTGCAAAATAGAGATAGTACATGCCTTACAGGGTTTATGCTGAACAATTAGTGAAACAATATATTATAAAATAGTCTACAAACTTTTATGCATCATGGACATGCAGAAAAATATGTGGAATATTTTCATTAATTCAATGTGTATAATTTTCATTATATTCTCTCTATATCACCAGAATTTATTGACATTCTGATAGGAAAGAATATAAATGGTAGAAAGAGGGCTTACACTTAAGCAGTGAGCATCTGGTAGAGAGCTAGTCAACATGGAATGCTGGAGGCACAACATGTGCACAGAGTAATAATTTTGCCAAAAAAAATTAAGGTGGAAAAATATTTTAGCTCTGTATACACGTTTTTGGAAAACCTTGGGACTTTTCCTCCAACCTCTATAAATTTTATAAAACTGAATTGATTTTTAAACCATCTTAAAGCATCCCTCTGCAATTTAGGCTGACGAAGATCTTGGTTCTAGCTTACAAAATTAAAGACTAGAAGCTAGTATGCCTTACATAATTTTGATGGGGATCTAAAAAAGCAATGTAAAAATAAATCTACTAAATTTATTGAGTGGCTTTTTATTAATATGCAAGGTACTGCAATTAATCACAAATATGTTTGGGTAGAGTTCTTGCTTTCAAGATTATTACATCACTAGGGAGACACACCAAGACAAACCCTGTGAACAGTTTAGATTCGGTTACATTTCCTGAGTGAGGTAGGGATTTTCCAAGGACTCCCAGGATTCCAGATTTCATTAACCTCATTTCATTCTCACAAAAACTCTATAAGGTAGGTAATAGGGCCTTTGTTATTAATAAAGAGATTGAGGCTCAGAGATATTAAACCACTTGCCCATCTCGGACACAGTGAGATGATGGTAGAGCCTGGACATAAACGCAAGTCTTAAAGCTCCATATCCAGGTTTCCTTCTAGTGTATACTTCATCTTCTGTTAACGCAGGATTACTGAGCATTTGCAGAAGGGTCTGAGATGTCACAAGCAGAGCAAAAGAAAAGGAGAGGGAACAGTAACAACGCCCCAGCAGGTGGAGGGAGGATACTGCTTGGCACTGGCTAGTCGGGTTGCTCTGCAGAGGCCTCCGCCGTGTCTGGCCCTGAAACGGTGGGGATGCGGATGACTGAAGGGTTTGTGAAGGTTAGGGAATTAGACTGGGATGGGACTGGCATAGCAAAGTGGGAGGGAGAAGTGTTCTGGGGACGGGAATGAGCTAATCAACTTACTTGGACGAAGCATCTGTGCTGTGCAGGGAAAGACCAAAAGTGAGGCCGAAAGAATAAGTGAGAGCCAAGCTGTGGAGAGCCCTGCATGCTGTTCTCACGTGCCTGGGCTTTTTCTTGATGGCAGAGGAAAAAGGCACGGAAGTGGTGCATCACAGAAGAGCCCATTGCACACAGCCACTTGAAATGTTTGGAGATGATTGGGCTAGGAAGGTGCCAAAGATCCATATTTGTTTGTATTTTAGCTAAAAAGGTAATACCATTGAAATCTGCAGGTATCACTATTTCACCAATAATTCTTGAATGGCTCAACATTTTATATAGTTATCAGGGTTCCAGGCACTCTAAACAATCTTCAAAATCTTCTATTAATAGTACTGCTGTTGCTGCAGCAAGTATCAAGCTAGGTGTCTGTCTGTCCTGACTCACTCTATAGAGGAGCATGCTGTGCGTGACGTCGAGGATTAGTGCTTCTGTTGGCCAGACCTGCACTGTCACCTGATAATCTCTGCTACCCATTGTTTCTCCTCTTGCCTTTTCCTTAGGATTTTGCTACTTTCAGTTGAAAAAAGGGGACTGCATGTTCTCTGACCCTCTTTCTATGCTTCCACTACTTTTAATATGGCAAATCAGTGGCTACCATTTCTGTGTTCAGCAAATGTTAGGCCCTGAACTAGACACCTAACATGCAGGAGGTATAATGAATCATGTTTACGTGTTGAAAATGACAGTAAATAGCTTGCCCGAAGTCACACAGTAAGCACAAAAGTCAGAGTAGAAGAGCCAGAATTTGAATTTAACTCAGTCTAAATGCAGCCAGGCACCTTCTAGAGCAGGAGCTGGCAAACTCTAGCCACAGGTCATATCTTGTCCACTGCCTGTTTTGGTAAATGGAGTTTGACTGGAGCACAGCCATGTTCACTCCTTTACTCACTGTCCACGGCGGCTTCAACTACAGTCAAGCTGAGTAACTGTAGCAGAGGTCTTGCTGGCAGAGTCTAACATACTTATTATTCGGCCCTTTACAGGAAAGGTTTGCTGACCCCTGTTGTAGAAGTGAAGGAAAGGGTTCCCAGGGCCAGAATATACATATCACATATGACTGTCGCACACTGCTCTCTTTTCCCAAAACTGCCTTTAATAACTGTATTTAGTTATAATAGGGCTTGAAAGGCAACTACTGGGCTCTGACCGCCTTTTAGTTTTAGACAGATTGTCCGATCAGCGTTTCTTTGAGCTTCTCCTGCACGCAGGCCTTGCATTCAGCCAACTGCATGGTGCCTGCTCCCCAGAGACTGAAAACCTAGCAGAGGCCGCGGCGTGGGCACCGCCGGCTCTCGCCCGGAGCAGGAAGCAGACTAGGCGAGGGCCGCAGGCAGAAAGGAAGGCATCGCTAGGGGATCGCATCGCAGGAGAGGGCTTTCTGCTTAGAGGTCGGAGAGATGAGAAAAACCTTTCAGAAGGTGAGTCTGAACTAAACCTTGAGACAAATTTTAGTAAGGGAAGTATTGGGAGGGACAAGGCAAAGGCATAGCCGTGTGGAGGGTAGGGGGTGAGAAGAATCAGTAACGGGGTGCGGTGTGTGATGAGGCGATGCACAGGCCGGGGGTAAATTATGATGACTGCAAAAGCTTCTTACGGACATGCATACTGTACATATGCTTGTGTGTATGTATATTTATGTACGTGGATTTATTTATAGTAAAGCAAAGTGGATTAAAGACCTGTCAGACTATCAATCCAAAGAAGGATTCATTTAATATGTTTAGTTTGTAAATAAAGAGTAAACTTTTAAAAGTACTGCATTATAAATATCAATAAATAACACACATATGAAAATGTTTACTGCAGCATTGTTTTTAAGAGGAAAAAGATTGGAAACAGCCTGAGTACCTGTCAGTGGGGAAATTAGTCAAGTAAGTTAAGGTATGTCCACACTGTGGAATATGGTACAGTCATTAAAACTAATGCACTGAACCCACTGGTGTTGATATGGCAAATTATCTATGACATACTGTTAAATAAATAAAACATACTTTTTTAGCTGATGTCTTTTATAGTCAGACTTTCTTTGAGCCAGCAAACAACAATTTTGCACAGCAACTTTCTTTTTTCTCTGTGGGTACTTAGTTGTATCTTTATAACATTTCCATATAAAAATAAAAGTCCAAGACCAGATTATTTTTCTTCTGGTCATAAATGTTGATTTATTTACAAGTGCTTTATTCAATTCTATATTATATTTATTATATTATATTATGGATAAAATATGCATGTATTTTATTAAAGCCTCAGAATTTAGTGTCAGGGTCCTTTAAAGATTTGCTCCCATGTTAACCTTTCAGGAATGCAGCATCTTTCCCAATATTTATCATAGTTATATCGTAATCTGCCCAGAGCGATACAAGCTAACCTTCAAAGAAGCATTAACAAAAAATTAATGTAATTTTTTAAAAAAAGAGTGAATGTATATCTGCATACCTGTATCTACACATAAATACAGAAAAAGTGTAGAAGACAACATGGCAATCTATTCACACATACAACCTCAGGACGCAGCTTCAGAATTGAGGAGTGGGGAGTGAGAATTTATTATTT